GTGGGTGGCTATAAATGCCGCTGCAGACCTGGCTGGAAGCCGATACCTGGGTCACCCAATGGCCCAAACAACACCGTTTGTGAAGGTACGGAGCTCAGATCCCTCATCTTAGAGACCCTCAGTCAAAACATCTGGTCACACATTCTAGGGCACCCACACCAACCAAGCACAATGAGTGCTGCGATCCCCTGCTTGGCCCGGCATCACCTCTTTGAGACTAGCTATGAAAAGATATGGAGCTGGCAGGAAAGAAGCTGGGTGTCCAGGGGAGGATCCCTGGGGGCAGCAGACAGCAGCTAATTATTGATTGGGAGGAAGGTGTTCCAATATTGTCACACGTATACATTGTAGGGGCTCATGTGCTTCCTGTCAGGCCTCCCGACACTCCCATGATCCCCCGTCGTCCACCACTCAGGGATGTGCCATCACCAGGTGGCATCATCTCACATGGGGTGGGGGCCTAATAACCAGGAAGAAGGGGATGAGACACTCAGAGGATAGGGAATCTGACCCAGGCTGGGACAGGGCCTGACCCTCTTCTTGTGTCCCCAGACATGAACAAGTGCATTTCCAGGCAGCATGGGTGCCACAGCTCCACCTGCTGCCTCTACAATCAGGAAGTATAAGTGCCGCTGCCACCTAGGCTTGATGCCTGTCTTAGTCATCTAGTGCTGCTCTAACAGAAATAACACAAGTGGTAGCTTTAACAAACAGAAATTTATTTTCTCACAGTGTAAGAGTCTAAAAGTCTGAATTCAGGGAACCAGCTCTAGTGGAGGGCCTTTTCTTTCTGTAGACCTGGAGGAAGGTCCTTGTCTCTTTAGTTTCTGCTTCCTGGTTCCTTGGAGATCTCCATGTGTCTTGGCCAGGGCTTCAAACCAGTTCATTCTGTTTCAAACCCCCGTTGAGAATTTGCATTTCTAACAAGGTCCCTGCTGAGAATCTGCATTTCTACTCAAGATATACTGAATCAGAATCTACATTTTAACAAGATCCCCAGGTGATTCTTATGTATAACTTCCTGGGAACTTGTTAGAAATGCAGATTCTGAGCAGGGAACTTGTTAGAAATGCAAATTCTCCACAGGGGTTCAAACTGGACCCAATGGGTTTGAAGCCCCAGTCTTGGCATCTATCTTACCCCATCTCTCCTCTGCAGGCTTATTTGAATCTCTCTTATATCTCAAAAGAGATTGACTCAAGCCACACCCTACACTAATCTTGCCTCATTAGCCTAACAAAGACAACCCATTCTCAAATGGCTTGGTTGTTAGGATTTACAACACATATTTTGGGGGACACAGTTCAATCCATAACAATGCTCAAATCTGGGTTCCAGAATAACCAAGTGACCACCAAGTATAAAGGTACCTGGCCTGACCTGACCCCAGATGCCTCCAACACACACATACACACACACACACACACACACACACACACACACACACACACACATACACACACACCCTCTCACCTAGTGAACTGTGTCCTGTCCCCACAGAGATGTCCTTTCCCTCCTGGACCCGGCCCTCTGGAGTCAGCAGCAAGGTAATTGGCTGTAGCGGGCCCCGGAAGCAGGAGATCCCTCCCCATAGCATCCACCCCTTTGCCCTTCCCCCCAGCCCCACCTCTGGGCTCTCTGACCTCCTCATCTTCCTCTCCCCAGACCCTCTCCCACTTCTTTGACAAAGTTGAGGATCTGGGCAGAGACTTCAAGCCAGACTCAGCCAAGAACACTATCCAAGTAAGGGCGGGACCTGGAGGGAACCCAGGACAGTCTGGGTGTGGCTGGGGGATGCTTCTGTGTGGGTGGAGACAGCCCTCAGCCCAAGCAGGGGTCTTTGGTCAGAGACATACACGTGTCTATATGCACAATATACACGTACCATATATATCCCCATTACACAAACGCAGACTTGCATACCCACCCCAACACGTATGTGCATACATGCACGCACACACGCACACACACTTGAGTAGCATAATGCAATAGAACAGAGTAGTTAAGAACGCCGCCTCTGGAGTTGGGCCACAAGGGTTCAAATCCTGGTGCTGCCACTTCATGCTGTGTGACCTCAGGCAAGTGATTCCCCTTCTCTGGGCCTCAGTTCCTCATCTGTAACACACATGAAAATGGTGCCTACTTCATAGAGTGAGTGTGAAGGTTTCAATGAACCAATAGGAGAACAGGATAGAAGAACGATGCCTGGCACATAGTAAGCATTATATGTATATACGTAATAGCATATGTACTGAGCCCAGCCATGTCCAATAGAAATATAATGTAAGCCACTTATATAAATTTAATTTTCTAGTAGCCACGTTTTAAAAAGTAAAAATGAACAAGCAAAATTAATTTTAAGACTTCATTTAACCCAATATATCCTAAATACAAACATTTTGACGTAACCAATACAAAAAAAATTATTGTGATATTTTGTATTCTTCATTTTGGATTAAGTCTCTGAAATCTGATTTTACAATTGGAGCCCATCTCCATTTGGACCAGCCACATTTCAAGTGCTTGAAAACCACATGGGGCAACCATGCTGGATAGCACCTGGCACGCAGCTTATAAACGTTACCTTCTGTTGCATATACAGGCACACAGGCCTGATCCCCTTGTTTTCTGGTTACTGCAATGTCTTGATGATCTCCCTGTGCTTGGAAACCCAGGGGGTTCTCCAGTCTGTCCCCTGGTGGGGGTTGAGATCAAGGTCCTTCGGGCAGCCCTGCGATCCAGTGACACAGCAGCTCTGTTACCCATTGCCCCCAGAACCTCATTATGTTTGTGGATGAGCTGCTGGAGGCTTCCGGGGACCTGGAGGTCCAGAACCTGTCTACCCGGCACCACATTGCCAGCTACCTGCTCTTGGGCCTCGAAGAAGTCCTGAGCATCCTGGCCCAGGCCTTGCCTGAACCCTCCTTCACCTACCATTCCCCTTCGAACACAGGTGAGGCCTTATCCTGCCCTGGCCTAGCCCCAGGCCCCATCTTGTACCCAGCGCCCCAATCACGGCTCCTCTCCCCTCAGAGCTGTCTCTGATGATCCAGGAGCAGGAGGAGCATGGGGACAGGAACGTTACCGTGGGCCAGAGCCAGGCTCGGATGCAGCTCAACTGGGCTGTGGCAGCTCAAGACAAGGACTCGGGTAACAGCAGTGGTCAGGAGAGGGAGCTGTGGGACAGGAAAGGAAGCCTGTGGGGAGAAGGCCATGGTGAGATTCAGAGTATGTACTAACTGAGCTCTGACCCATTGCATGGGACTCCAGGCATCACAGTGGGGCTGGCCGAGCCTGGGTTCCATGCATTAGGAGAGAGAAGAGGAGAATGTGTGGGAGGAGGGAGGGCAGGAGGAGGCAGTGAGTCTGTCTCTTCCCCAGGTCCCACCGTGGTGGGCATCCTCTCTAGCCTGAACATGCAGAGATTGCTGGCCAATGCCTCCTTGGACCTGGAGGCCAAGAAGAAAGATAAACTGGAAGAGATCCATAGAAGCCTAATCCACGGGGCCCAGCTCAAAGTCCTCTCAGCTGTCAACACCGTGTTTCTGAGCAACAGAAACACGAAGAACCTCAGCCTTCCTGTCACCTTCGCCTTCTCCCACCCTGTGAGTCCTCAGGCTGGAAGGGGGATCAGCCCTCCTGCTCACCCCATAGCCCAGGTCCCCACGGCCCCTCTGCAGCCTTCATTTCCCCACTTCCTCCCACTGTGCGCCTCGCCCACTCTGCTCCTTCCTCAAACATACCTCAGGGCCTTTGCACCTGCTGTTCCATCTGCCTGGGACATTTTTCTTCCCCTGCATGTCTCTGCCCTTTATCTGTTTCCAGTCCTTGTTCAAATGTCACCTTCACACTGAGACCTTCCCTAACCTCGTTTCACTCGCCACATTTCCCCTACACTTACACTTTTTCATAGCACTTTTTCTTTCCTTCTACCACACGCTCTAGTTTATCTATTATCTGTCTCCCCACAGCATGTCAGCCCCTAGAGGGCACAGATTTTTGTCTGCTCTGTTCACTGCTGTGCCCCCAGGGCCTGGCGAACAGTAGGTACTCCATAAATACTTACCAAGGAAAAGCAGCTCTCCTCAAGCCCAGCCCCCAAGCTCAGGACCCACAAGTGGGCTATAGCCAACCTCTCTGACTGCCCCACCCACCCACAGCCAGAGACACCAGGGCCACGGCAGGAGCTGATCTGTGCCTTCTGGGAGTATGACAATGACACGGGTGGACACTGGGCCACCACAGGCTGCCAGACGCTAGGCAGCAGGAATGGCAGTACCACCTGCCGGTGCAGCCACCTGAGCAGCTTTGCCATCCTCATGGCCCACTACAATGTGCAGGTGAGCAGCCCAGGCACCGCCCTTAGAAAGCAACAGAGAAGGTGAGAAGGTCGGCTTAGGGAAGACAGCCAGCTGGTTCTCAGTGCTCCCGCCCAACTGCTTATTCAAATATGTCTGAATGGTTGGACAGACCAGGTGGCCCCATACCTCTTTCCTCTCCCTGGAGCTCCCTTGTGTGCTGTCAGGTCTGACTCATGTGACCCTATAGAACAGAGTAGAACAGCTCCATAGGGTTTTCTAGGCCGTAATCTTTACCAGAGCAGATTGCCAGGTCTTTTCTCCCTTCGAGCCACTGGGCTTCCTAAGACCCAACGACTAAACTGTGCAGCCTGGCACTGCAGGGTCCAGCTCTGGCCAGGGCCCTCTGATGTCCCCCCACACCAGTTGTTACATATGTGGCCTCAGAGGGAGCTACCATGAGCCGGCCCAGGGTGGATAACTACGGCTGGCCAGGCAGAGTAGAGGAGGCTGGTGGTCCAGGCCAAAGGCCCAGCAAGTGCAGAAGTGTGGAACCGGAGAGTTGATAGGTGTCGCCAGGTGGAGGAGGGGCAGGAGATGAGGTCAGAGAGTGGGCCGGTCTGAGTGTTGGAAAAGAGGGATGCGCAGTGTCGGCTGCCTGGGACCTTTGCCAGAGCAGTCAGGTGGGCAGTAGGCGGGAGGCCGGCCACAGGAGTGGGGTCAGGAAACCGGAAAACTAGGAATCCCTGCCGTTCCCGCTGGAGGGTTTATTTCGGATGACAGAGACACAGGCAGGCTTGTTTAGATGTTGAAGGCGAGCCGCTTGATCACAGTCCCGCAGGCTGGGTCCCAGAAGGGTCTGGGTGGGGCTCTGTGAGGGCAGAAAGGCCTCACAGCCCGGACTGAATCCCGCCCACCCCGTCCCGCCCCCAGGACCCCACGCTGGCCTTGATCACCAAGGTGGGGCTGGCTTTCTCGCTGGTCTGCCTGCTGTTGTGCATCCTCACCTTCCTGCTGGTGCGGCCCATCCAGAGCTCGCGCACCACGGTGCACCTGCACCTCTGCATATGCCTCTTCGTGGGCTCCGCTATCTTCCTGGCCGGCATCGAGAACGAGGGCGGCCAGGTGAGGCCCTGACCCGTGGGGGCCCAGCCGTCACCCGAGCGCTTGGGTAGCAAAGCCCAGGAGGCATGGCCCCGCCCGCTCCCAAGGCTCAGTCCGGGAGGCCAGCCCTAAAGTCTGCGTCCCTGTCCCTCCCCAAGATCCGGTCCCGCCCACTCTGGCTTTAGGGGCGCAAGACACTCTCCCGGCTACACTCAACTCCAAGGCCCAGGATGGCGGTGCTGGGGAAGCGAGCGGCCCCGCCCGCTCGAGCTCTGGCCCCGCCTACCCACCTGGCCGTGGCCCCGTCCACTCGCGTCTTGGCCCCGCCTACCCCGTGTGAACTGTCGGGGCGGGATCTAGCACCGCGTGGCCACGCCTCCGCCCCTCCAGGCCGTGGCCCCACCCATGCCCGTCCAGGCCCCGCCCACTCCCGAGAACTCTAGCGGAGACTGGCTCTGGCGGCGCGTAGTCCCGCCCACAGCCGACCCCGCCCCGCACTGACGTCCGTCGCTCCGCCCCGCAGGTGGGGCTGCGCTGCCGCCTGGTGGCCGGACTGCTGCACTACTTCTTCCTGGCTGTCTTCTGCTGGATGAGCCTCGAGGGCCTGGAGCTCTACTTCCTCGTGGTGCGCGTCTTCCCGGGCGAGGGCCTGAGCACGCGCTGGCTCTGCCTCATCGGCTATGGCACGCCCGGCGTCATCGTCGGCGTCTCGGCTGCTGTCAACAGCCAGGGCTACGGCCGTGTCCTCTAGTGAGTGTGGCAGGCCTGGGGCATGGGGTAGCGCCGTGCACACATGGCAGGCACCCCTCTGAAGGGCTCCAGCCTGGGGTTCCGGGGGCGCTGAGGGGACCCCTCTCCTCTCGTGCAGCTGCTGGTTGGAACCGACCAACGGCTTCCTCTGGAGCTTCCTGGGACCAGTGACCGTCATCATTCTGGTAACCTCCCCACACACCTAGCCAAAGCCTGAGCTAGCGGGTCTCTCACTGCACCCCTGCTAGACCATCCCTGCCTCCCTGTGACTTGTTGGGGTGCCCCCTAATCCGAGTTCCATCTTTCCCACCCAGTGCAATGCTGTCATCTTCGTGATTACTGTCTGGAAGCTCACTCAGAAGTTTTCTGAAATCAACCCAAACATGAAGAAATTAAAGAAGGCAAGGTGAGAGGAGGGGCTAGAGGAGAGAGGGAAAGCTGGAGAGGAGAGGGGGGCCTGGGGTGAGACAGGGAAGGAGGCCTGGCCTTACACCCACTGCAGCTGACCCTCCCTGCCCTCCCCTCCCCAGGATGCTGACCAGCACCGCAGTGGCCCAGATCTTTGTGCTGGGCTCCACCTGGGTCTTCGGCCTGTTCCTCTTTGACCCACGTAGCTGGGTCCTGTCCTACATCTTCTCCATCCTCAACTGCCTGCAGGGCTTCTTCCTCTTCCTGCTGCACTGCCTGCTCAACAAAAAGGTGGGACGACCTGGGGCTGGGCCAGGGCCTGGGCAGGATGGGGTGGAGGAGGACAAAGGGTGGGGCCTGGGCCACTCCTCCACTAACTTGGCACCTGGGCCACAGGTGAGGGAGGAGTACTGGAAGTGGGTCTGCCTGGTCACCAGGAGCAAGTACTCGGAGTTCAGCTCAACCACGTCTGCCACCAGCCACCAAACCCGGGTAGGGGATGTGCCTGGGCAGGGGTGCAGGAATGGGAGGTGTCCCCAACGCCAGCTTAGGCCTCACTGGCTCCTTCCTCTCCAGGCCCTCAGGCCTTCGGAATCCAGCATGTGAAGGCAGGTTTTGGACAGGCTGGCAGCAGCCACAGCAGCTTTTGCACATGCTGAAAACGACCCTTCCTCTCCCACTTCTCTGCTCCCTCCACCCTCCCACCTCTGCCATAGTGCACCAAGGAGAGGGGTGTGGGGTGCCACAGCTGTGGTCTGGCACCGGACTACAGAACAGCAGCCAGGACAGGTGGAGCCACTTCCAGCTGCCTCTCTCTGCTCCACCCTGGCAGCCCTGGCTTCATCCCAGGATGGGGACATGAGCTGGCCCAGGGCTCCAGCCTGGGTACAGGTCTTGGGGACAGACTGAGGGCTGCTGTCCCCAATCTGGCACTTTCCCTCATCTATCTTGGCTACAGAGCAGACGAGCCAGATGCTGGGGTTCAACTTCCCTCACAAGCTAAGACTGATGTCAGAGGCAGGAAAGGCAGGGCCCAGGCCCCCAACTCTGCTGCCTGAAACTCACGGTACACAGGCCCAACTGCCCAGGGCAGAGGGTTCTAACTTTTCGGAGATTGTGAATGTTGTATAATGTTTTTTAATCTGTATAAACCTTTCAATGTTGACACTTAAAGATCACCCTGATAAACGCAGATGACGCGCTGCTCACTAGCCCCCAGTGCCGACAAAATGCTGGTAATGGCTGAGAACAGAGCAGGTGGGAGTCAGGTTTCCATAATAAAAGTTTATTCTCACACAAATCTACAGCTTTAACACAGTAAAAAGAGGCTAGTCATTGCTGAGGAAGAAGAGACCAGAAGGCAGCAGGTGGGAGGCAGGGGCACCTCAGCCTGGCAGGTGCTGGGTTACCGGCTCTGCTCAACTGGAAGACACAGGGGAGGCCACGTAAGGACAGGGAAGGGACCTGCCACTCCAGCTCCCTGCCCCCAGCCTGCCCACTTACTGTATGTAGATATGTCAATTTCTTCTGGAAGCTCTGCCACATTCACTTCAAACCGGTCCTGAACGTCATTGAGAATTTTGGCATCGTTCTCATCAGACACAAAAGTGATAGCTAGGCCTTTGGTGCCAAAGCGACCCGCGCGGGCCACCTGCAAGGGGACAAGAGCAGGGGTCAGTTTCCTGCCCCTGCCCCGTCCCAGGAGAGGGATAAAAGGGAGGCAGCTGCCTGTGGACCACTCACCCGGTGGAGGTAAGTATCTGAGTCCTCAGGCATGTCATAGTTGAAGACGATGTTGACCCGCTCAATGTCCATCCCTCGGCCAAACAGATTGGTGGCCACCAGGATGCGCCGCTGGAAATCCTTGAACTGCTGATAGCGTGACAAGCTGGGGTCAAGGGGAACAAGCGGAAGTGTCAGGCGCCAGGTCTCTGGGCAGGCTCCCTTCAAGGGCTGTCCCAGCCTGCGTACTCACCGCTCCTCCTGGGCCATGCCCCGGTGGATGGCAATGGCTGGGAAGTTCTGTTCCACGAGGAGCTGGGCCAAGGCCATGCAGCGCTGCACCGACTTCACAAAGATCACCACCTGTGAGGCAGCAGCAGTCAGGCCACCGTCCTACAGTCAGGCGGCAGTGCAGCCTCCCGAAGCTCCAGAGCCCCGGGACGCGCCACGGCAGCGTCACCTGGTTAAACTCCAGCACGTCCAGGAGGTCAAAGAGCTTGCGGTTCTTCTCGCTGTCCTTGAGCTTGACGTAGTACTGCTGCAGTCCGTGCAACGTGAGCTTGGTCTCATCGTCCACAAACACCTCCATGGGCTGTGGGGCGGGGGGAAGCAGGGCAGGGGTGAGCAGGGCTTACTTCTGCGCCTGTTACCTGCCCAAGGAACCTTCCAGAGGAGACTCCTTTGCTGGGAAGCCTCCCAGAGGGCCTGCTGTATCCCGACCTTAATAAAAATTTCTCTATCAAAAGCTGAATTTAACCTCTAGTCCAACTCAGGGGAGGGAAGGAGGGCTCCACCCAGCCTCCCAGCATCCCGTGTGCCTTGACAGCACTGGGGAGGCTAGAGTGGCTGTGCTGAGGCTTGGCCCAGCGGGCAGATGTGGTCTCAGCCTACTCACATCTTGCATGAACTTCCTGCAGACGGGCCGGATCTCCTTGTTCAGGGTGGCACTGAACATCATGCACTGCTTCTCGTGGGGCGTCAGGCGGAATATCTCCTGCACATCCCGCCGCATATCTGGATAGGGGGCAGGAAACAGTCGGGCATCAGTGCCTGCCAGGCCACGGCCCCCACCCAAGACTAGGCCCAAACCCCTCCCAACCTGAGCCAGGGAGCTGCTGGCACCATGATGAGGGCAGGCGGTGTGAGATGGGACCAAGTGGAGAGAGGGGCGAGTCCCAAGGTGCCTGAGGGGCTGGACTCGGGGTGAGCACAGGCGAGGGAGGAGCTGTGGTCCACTTACACGTGGCGAGCGCGGAGTAGCCGTGCCAGTGCGCCTCGTGCCACGCTTCAGGGAGGGGAGCCTGAGGCAGAGACAGCCGCTGGGGTGAGAGCTGCAGCTGCCCCCGACACAAGCCCTGTCTCCCACTGGCCCTGTCAGGGCTCACTAAGGGCAGGGGGGCCTAGAACAAACGCCACAGGCTGCTAGGTGATGGCACTCCTTGGGGCCAACGTGTGCCTATGCCTGCAGTCCCGTTCAGCTTGGGCTCAGGAAGAAGCAGACACACTGGCAAAACCAGATCATTCCCTAAAACTGTTCAAGGAAGACCTATGTGCTGGCCACCCCCAAGACCCCACCTCAGGAAGCCTACTGTTAGGGCCCCGGGCGGCTGGCTCGACACCCAGGGAGGACTGCGGGCAGGGCACAACCGCAGCGGGCACTCACCCAGCTGCTCCAGCATCTTGTCACACTCGTCCAGCACGAAGTGCTTCACATTCTTCAGGTTGAGGCTCCTGTTTCGCACAAGCGCCAGGATGCGGCCCGGGGTCCCCACCACAACGTGCGGACAGTTCTTCTTCAGCACCTCTTCATCCTTCTTGATGGAAAGGCCACCAAAGAACACAGACACCTGCAGGGACAGGGAGAAGCTGCTTTTGCCCACCAAGGATGAAGGCTCAGCCCCTGTCCAGGCTAACGCCCGGCCCATGGCCCTGCAAGCACAGGCCTGCAGCCCCTGAGGATGTCCACCACCACCCCCATGCCTAAGGACAGGCCAGGCCTGCACGGACACAGGCCTGAGAGCCTGGCCAGCTCCCCTGAAAAGCAGCCCCAGGCTGGGGCAGCACAGGACTCGGGCCATGCATAATTCATCAGGCTTTTAAGGAACATAAACCACCACAAACCTCAAAGGCAGATACTGCAGCCAAGCTTAGTAAATGCTGACTGGACCAGAGCCGAGGCCAGCACACTGCAGAAGACCACTGGGCGCCTGGCCCAGCCCGAGGGGCTCACCTTGACATTGGGCATGTACTTGGAGAAGCGCTCATACTCTTTGCTGATCTGGAAGGCCAGCTCCCGAGTGTGGCACATAACCAAGACTGTCACCTGTAGGGTGGGAAGAGAGGGGACCTTAAGCTAAGGTCCTAAACCTTCCCAGGCCCAAAGCCCACACCGGTGCACTCTTCCCTTCCCGGCCCACAACATTCGGGCCTCGCCCCACGCTGAACCTCCCACCGCTCCCCACACCTAGGCCATCAGCAGGCCCCGTCCCATGCCTCCACCTCCTCACAGCCCTCCAGCCTCTCCTAGCTACTGAAGCCTATCTTCCACCCCAGGAGGCAGGGAGCTCCTGAGGGGCACCTCTACCCAGCACCTGCAATAAGGTCAACGAGGCCCAGCCTAGCCCAGGTGGCCTGCGCTCTCTAACGGAGCTGTGTTCAGTATAACTCCACCTTTATGAAAACACACAAACAATCTAGGAAAGCACACGTCATTTAAAATAACAGTGATCTCCTGGTCTCATCCCTTTGGGAGCAAGGGAGAATGAAGAGAACAGGATACAAGGAAAAGATTAGTCTGAAGTACTAATGGACCACAGCTACCAAGGTCTCCACCAGACTGAGTCCAGTACAGCTAGATGGTGCCCAGCTACCACTGACTGACTGCTCTGACCAGGATCACAACAGAGGGTTCTGGACAGAGCTGGAAAAGGATATAGAACAAAATTCTAACTCAAAAAAATAAAAATAAAAAAACAGATTTACTGGCCTAAAGGAGACTGGAGAAACCCTGAGAGTATGGCCCCCAGACACCCTTTCAGCTCAGTGGTGAAGTCATCTCCGAGGTTCACCGTTCCGCCAGGGAGTGGACAGCTCCATAAAACCAAATGGGACCAATGAGGTACAGCAGTCCAGGGACAAGGGCCAGAAGGCAGAAGAGGACATGGAAGCTGGTGATAGGGAACCCAAGGTTGAGTAAGGATAGTGTTGATGTGTTGTGAGCTTGTTAACCATTGTCATAGGGCAACATGTGTACCGTTTAATGAGAAACTATTTTGTTCTGTAAGCCTTCATCTAAAGTGAGAATAGCAGCACAATTGGAAGAGCACAATCGATGTCACTGAACTGTGCATCTAGAAATTTTTGAAATAGTGTATCTTTTTGGCTATGTATATTTTCACCAAAAAAAAAAAAAAGGTTGAGAAGGGAAAGGGTTGACATGTTGTGGGATTGTTAACCAATATCATAAAACAATATGTGTACTACTGTTTCGTGAAAAATTATTTGTTCTGTAAGGCTTCACCTGAAGTACAATTAAAAAAAAAAGAAAATAAGTGATCTCTGTATAGAAAAACCACAAATACTTTTTTTTGGCTTATCGGTACTTCCTGATTTTGTTATAATTAAATGCTGTACTTAATTTTAAAAGCCCACAAAAAGAACACGAAGACAGAAATGTTTAAGAAGTGAAAGAAGAACAGGACACAGCATGGCTCCTGGGAAGGGCGGCCCTCTGCTGGCTGCCCCAGCGTCTCGGGCAGGGATGGGAGGTTGCCCATACCTGTCCGTTGACGGGCTCGATCTGCTGCAGGGTGGCCAGCACAAAGACCGCCGTCTTGCCCATCCCAGACTTGGCTTGGCACAGGACATCCATCCCCAGGATGGCTTGGGGGATACACTCGTGCTGGACTGTGGGAGGAAAAGGACGTGAGCGGCCAGATGCTGGGTGCCCACTCTGTGCAGACTCCTCACAGGCGGGCTGAGGGCCCTGGTGAGGGCAGGGAGAGGAGGCCAAGCCCCGTCATGTCGCAAACAACCGTGAGTCTGGGGTATCCGCCTGGTAAAGCAGAGTGCCACACTGCAAAGGGCAGCTACTGGGCCCCCGTGGACCATGGGCCCCACCATGCCCACTGGGAAGGCAAGTGCTCCCATCCAGGGACAGAGATGGTCTTGATGAGAGGGCCTTGGCAGGAGGAGACAGACAAGGAGGCATACCCTCAGATGGGTGCTCAAAGCCACAGTCCACGATGGCCCTTAGTAGCTCTGGCTTTAGCAGAAAGTCCCGGAAGCCAGAGCTGTGGATGGAAACATAGGAACCCTTGACGTCTTTCTTGGAGGGAGCTGGAGTGCTCTCGGGAGGAGGCTGGGGCTCTTCATCTTCTTCATAATCCAGAAGCTCGTTTTCCACATCCTGTTCCGCCATAGTGCTGAGAACAGAGCAGAGGAGGGTAGAGGCCAGTGACCCAGGTGCTTGCAGGAAAATTCGCCCAGCAAGGGGGACAGGTCCTGGGGGGCATGGTGCTGCTGGCCGGTCCTGACAGCAGGCACGGAGGCCCACCCAGCCAAGACTACTCGATACCATCCTGACTCCTTCCATCACCTCCATATCAAATCATCAACAGGTCCCGCGAGCTCCACCCGTGAAATGCCTCCAACTACTCCATCCTGTCTCCACATCTGCAACACCACCACCCTGGTCCAAGCCACTTCACCTTGCCCCCCTGCCCCCCCACGACACCTGCCCCTCATAAAACACACACCACCAAGGTCCCTGGGTGGTACAAATGGTTTGCACTAGGCTACCAACTGAATAGCTGGCAGTTCAAACCCACTCAGAGGTGCCATGGAAGAAAGGCCTAAAGATCTGCTTCTGTAAAGACTATACCCAAGAAAACCCTATGAAGCAGTCCTACTCTGTAACACACGGGGTGCCTGTGAGTCAGAGGCCGACTGGATGGCAGCTAAAATACACACCCGGTGGTCAAACCCACATACGTGCACAGAGACCCTCAAAGGCTTCCCAGTGCTCTCAGAGTGAGCCCCAATTTCCACCCCTCCTTGTGGGGCTCTGCCCTCCTCATTCAGCATCACCCCTCTCATACCAGCCCAGCCTTGCTTCTCAGACTAATGGAGCCCACAAGCCTCTGCTGCCAGGTCCTCACAAGAAGGCTCCTTCTCAGCTCTAAAGTGCCTCCTCAGACCCCCAGGCTAAAGCAGCCCCTCCCCACCATTCTCTGTGTGCCCTGCTGCGCTGCGTAGCACAGGACCCCAGAGACTTAAAGATGGGGGTCACTGCCCCGGAGAAGGCTGCTGCGATGCCGGAGGAGGGTGTTCATTAGGGAGTGGTGTCTTCCCAGCCTGGCTTCTCCCGCTATTTGTGGTTGGCACAGGGGAATAATTAAGTGCTCTCATGAAAAGGCCTCCCGTTGGGCCTGGGGCCAATAAAAACTAAAGCCGAGAAAGCAAATGGAATTAATACAAAGCTCACTCACCTCCTCACTTCATTTACTCCCATCATACAGAGCACCCATAGGGTGCAGCTGTGATACCTGGGATCCAAAGCTGAGGACAGTCTCCCTCTGCCCTCCCGCCCCAGCCCGGCCTCCAGCCCGGCCTCCAGCCCACTGGAGGCTAAAGTGCAGAAGCAGTGCCTCTTCCCAAGCCTCGGTGCTGAGTGCCCTGGGCCCCGTTTCTCGTCTTCTCTGTGACTGTATCCAGTCCTTCCCGCTTAAACATCTCTGTGCTGACCCCTCCCAAGTCTGTGTCTCTGGAGGCAACCTCTCCCCTGACCTCCAGAATCGTTTGTGCAGCTGCGTCCACCACACCCCCGCTTGAACTCAAAATGTCCAGAACAAAACTTTCTCCCCATAGCCTGCTCTACCCATCTCCTAAGCAGCAATTCCATTTTCTCGATGCCTGCCTCTTCTCACTTGCCCTCCACATCCGACGGGCCAGCAAACCGTGCCAGGTCGGTCCATCACCTCACCCTGCTACCACACTGGCCATTGCCTGCTTTTTTAATTAGAACAGTATTATTGAGATAGACTCCACATACCTTACAATTCACCCATTTAGAGTACACAATGTAGACACGTGCAGCCATCCCCACAATCATTTTAGCACATTTCATCACCTCAAAAAGAAACCCCATACGCTTAGCTACCACCCCCACCCTCCCATCTCCCCATCCCCTGACAACTGGTAACCTACTTTCTGTCTCTATGCATTTGCCCATTCTAGACATTTCATATCAATGCAGTTGTACAACATGTGGTCTTTTGTGACTGGCTTCCTTCCCTTAGCACAATGTTTTCAAGGTTCATCCACATGTAGCATGAATCACAACTTCATTCCTTGTCATGGCTGGATAATACTCCATTGTACACATGCACCACGTTTTGTTTCCCTGTTCATCCACTGCCGGACACTTGGGCCCCCATTGCTCTTGCCTGGATTATGACAACAGCCTCCTCACTGATCTCTGGCTTCTACCTCACCCCCTCCCACAGCAGCCAGAGGGAACTGAGTCAGATCATGTCACTCCTTTGTTCACAACCCCCAGCCATGGCTCCCCCTGCTTGGAATAGTCCTTACCATGGCCTATCACACCTGACACAACCTGACCCCCCACTACCCTCAGATCTCATCCCCCCACTTGCCTTCTCTCGCCAGCCTTGCTGCTATGCCTCAGACTCACCTCTGTGCCTTTGCACTTGCTGTTCCTCCACTCAAATTATGTCGCCACAGAAGGGTCTTTCCTGAGGGTCTCAACTATGACAGCACACTCTCCAGTCATATCAAACACTTGCCCCAGCTTGTTTTTCTTCCCACTTGACATATCATGTACTTGTCATTCTCACTTGACTAGCTGTTTTGTGGATTATTGTGTCCCCAGCACCTAGAACAGGGCCTGGCACACAGCAAGGAAGTACTCACTAAGCAATGATTGAATGAATGGAACTAGAATCCAGGGCTTCGAACTGGTTCCTTTCCATTCGACCCCCACTACTGAGAATTTGCCTTTACACCCCAGATATACTGAATCCAAATCTACATTCTAACAAGATCCCCAGGATCCATAAAAATCACTAGGGGATCTGGTTGAAATGTAGATTCTGATTCAGTATATCTGGGTGGAAACGCAAACTCTCAGCAGGGCATCAAATGGAAACAAACCGGTTCAAAGCCCTACTAGAATCAAGGCCTCAAGGCAGAGTTCTGGGGCTAAAGTAAGCATGCCTGTTACCTGATCCTTGAAAGAGACAGCACCTGATAAGGTCCCTGAGGATTCTAACAAAAAACAGAAAGGGGTCATTCGCCAGGCAGCAGGGAAGAAGACAGGAGCCAAGAAAGGCCAGTCAGAAAAGCACGAGACCCTTTTGGTGAATGGCTCAAGCGCAGGCAGAAGACCAGGGCGTTTGTACTTAATTTGCTATGCAACAGGGAATCATTGATGAGGTTGTGAGTTGAGTAACTCAACCAGAATGAGGATGGGGTAGGGTATGGACTAGCAGCAGGGAAAACCAGGGTGAGGGTATTAAGTACAAAGAAGAGAGTGGAATAATCCAGACACTCTGGATGACTCAAGAACAAAGAACCAGGGTCATCTACTCTGGGCTTCAAACCTGGGTGACCAAAAGGAGGTGGTGTATTTAAACTTATTAGGGAGATCAAATGAAGTTTTGCGGGGTTTTTTTTGGTTTGCTTCTGGTGGGAATTAGAACACTTTGAGGTAGAAAAATTTCCAGGAGATGGCTAGACAGGATCTAACGCTCCAAGCAAATTAGATCAGAAGGAGACAGGACGTGGCGAGCCTCCTGGAGTGGGTGAGTTTTGAAAGCTGACACTGGGATAGTGACAAGACAAACGCAACACTCGCACTCATTCGCTCTTAAGTGAAGTTTTCCACCCAGAAGTATGCTCCTTACTGGCGTCCTCTATTTCCAAAAAAAATATTTTTCCCCTAAATCTCTAGAACCCCGAATCTCCCAAACGCGGAGCAAGAACACAGCCGGGTGAAGGGGAACCCTGGGACTCAAGAGGCCGGTCCCGTCTCGAAGGTTCGGCTTCTCCCATCGCGGCCCCAATTCCCCGTTTCGCCCCCCCGGAAAGCGCCTTGGGCTGCCTCGGGCTCTGTTCGGACAAAAGACAGACGGGCTCCGTGTCTCAGGTCAGGCTGTGCAGGCCGGCGACCAAGACAACCCCTCCCGGAAGCGGTCTCACACGCCAACGGCCCCCATCCCTCGCGCATGCGCCCCTGCGCCCAACGGCCGCCGGGCGCGCAGGGCACCCAAACGCCCGCTCGCACCCCTCCGGTCTCGCGCCCCCTCCTCTACTCCCTCCACAGCCGACTCTTCCATCACCCGCTCGCCCGAAAGCCTGGCGGCTCCGCGCCGCGGTCCCGCGCCCCGACCCGCCGCTCACCTGATTCTCGGTTCAAATCCGCGTGCTGCTAGGAGAGCCGACCAACTCCGGTTATCAACCGCGCGCTCCGGCACGAGCAGGATCGCTTCCTGCCTCCCGCGGTCGTCTGCAGCTCCACTCACTGGACCGCTGTCTTGTTATTCAAGAGTGGCGGCGGCGGTGATTGGATACCACCGAGCCTCGGTAGGCTATTGGTGGAGATAGGAAGGAGGGCGGTGCGTATGCCTCGAGTTCATTGGCCAATCTAAAAGTAGGCACGCCCAAGTGGGCTGACTGAGGCCGGCACCGCCCCACGCTGTCACGTGACCGGGTAGTTGCCAGCCGCGGCCGCCGCCATATTTAGTACTGGTAACCGAAGCTGAGATTATTGGTGTGTGCTGAGTGCCCCACCCTTATGAAGTGTGGTCTGTACGGAGCACTGAACCACGGATTCTGGGACTGGGCGTCAATACGCGGCCTCCTGGTCTTTCACGGTAGAGGCTCTGAAAGGGCCCCGAGGAAGATTGGGAGTTTGGAATGAGTCCATCGTGGAGGGGACCGCATTTTGCATCGGCAGTGGGGGAAGGGGGTCCCTCAGCGTGAGAGTAAGAGAACTGATCATAAGCAACAGATCCCTTTCGTTGAAAATGATGATGTTCTGGCTCAGACACAAAACCGAGCTGTTTACGTCCTATAACTTTTTGCCTGTGTTAATTTTTCCTAACTTATTTTTTTAAGTACTTTAAAAAAAAAAAACCCGTTGCTCGATTCCGACTCATAGCGACCCTATAGGACAGAATAGAATTGCTCCATAGGGTTTCCAAGGAGCGGCTGCTGGGTTTGAACTGCCAATCTTGTGGTTAGCAGCCAAACTCTTAACCACTATACCATGAGGGTTTCCTTAAGTACTTTACTGAGGTGTGAAAAACCAAACCCATTGCTGTGGAGTCCATTCTAACTCATTACGGAGGTATAACTTACAGTAAAAGGAACAGGTTGATGAGTTTTGCTAGTTGTCCCTAGAGTGATACCCACCCAGTTAAAGATATGGTACATTTCCATCCCCCCAGAAAATTCCCTTGTGCCCCTTTGAGGTCAACCACACACGTCCCAGACTACCACTATGTAGATTCCTAGCAACATAAATTAGTTTTGTCTGTACTTGATTTCATATACAGTAAGTGGAAGCATACTGTAGGTTGCCTTTTGTGTCAGGCTTCTTTTGCCCAACTTAATGTTTTGGAGATTTGTCCACGTTGCTGAGTGTATCATTTGTTCTTTTTTCATTGCGGTGTGGTATTTCAT